GTAGCATACAATGCTAAAGTGAGTAATTATAGCCAAATTCTAACATTAACCTGCCGTTAATAAAAGATAAGCCCGGCATTGTGGACACTAAGGCAGGACGGGTTTGGAGAGGCGAGCTCATTTAGCTGGAGATTTAAATAGCCCTTCGTCTGGGGCCGATCCGGTAATTGAGGGAGTTAAATTAACGTGCCGTTAAATTGACGCCCAGTTAAATTCTCCAGATAAAGCAGCAGGATACAAAGGCAGGGTGAGTAAGTCTCAGATCTGGATATAAACAGAGTCCCAAAAGTGACGGACGAGGTGTTTTCCGCCAGGATCCTTTTGGACAGAGCGCTGATCTCATTTCGTCTAAATTGAATCTGATCTGTCATAACTTCTGTCGTCCAGTCACTATGGAAACGCGGCCTCCCGGACCTGCGAGCGGTGCGACCCGAGCTGCGGCGAGTGCGGGGGGGCGGGGGAGGACGCCTGCCTGAGCTGCGCCCCGGGGTTGCTCTTCCTGCGGAGGGAGGGCCGCTGCCTGCCCGCCTGCCCCCAGAAACACCGCCTCGACCCGGAGCACCGCACCTGTGAGCCGTGTCCGGACGGCTGCAGGACCTGCTCCGGTCAGCCCAAAAACACATTATCCCAACCCCTTATTCCCTAATGGAATATCTCTAATAATCTCTTGCCCTGGGCGGCACAGTGGTGTGGTGGTTAGCACTGTCGCCTCCCAGCAAGAGGGTTCTGGGTTCGAATCCCGGGGGAACCAGGACCTTTCTGCCAGAGGGCTCTGGGTTGGAGTCCCCCAGGACCAGAGGGTTCTGGGTTTGAGTCCCGGGGGAACCAGGACCAGAGGGTTCTGGGTTGGAGTCCCGGGGGAACCAGGACCAGAGGGTTCTGGGTTGTAGTCCCGGGGGAACCAGGACCAGAGGGTTCTCGGTGGGAGTCCCGGGGGAACCAGGACCAGAGGGTTCTGGGTTCTAGTACCCGGGGGAACCAGGACCAGAGGGTTCTGGGTTGGAGTCCCGGGGGAACCAGGACCTTTCTGGGTGGAGTCTGCATGTTCTCCTGTGTCTGTGGGTTCTCTCCGGGTTTTCCGGCTTCCTCCCACAGTCCAAAAACCTGCATGTTAGGCTGATTGGAGATTGGGGAAATTGCCCTTAGGAGTGAATGTTTGTCCTGTGTGTGGCCCTGCGATGGACTGGCGGACTGTCCAGGGTGAACCCCGCCTCTCGCCCGTTGACCACTGGGATCCCCTACTGGGATAGGCTCCAGTTCCCCCCGCGACCCCATGAGGGAATAAGCGGTATTGATAATGGAAGGATGGAATCTCTTGCCCTCTCTTTCCCTCACCCCCAACCGGCCGAGGCAGATGGCCGCCCACCCTGAGCCATGGTTCTGCTCGAGGTTTCTGCCTGTTAAAAGGAAGTTTTTCCTTGCCTGTGTCGCCTAGTGCTTGCTCATGGTGGGAATTGTTGGGTTTCTGTAATTAACTTCAGAGTAGGGTCTGACCTGCTCTGTTTGGAAAGCGCTGTGAGACAACTGTTGTTGTGATGTGGCGCTATATAAATAAAATTTAATTGGATTGAATTTAATTAATGGGGTCCCAGAGGGGGGGTGGAGACTATCCCAGTGGCCAATGGGGAGAGGCGGGGTCCCCAGTCCATCACAGGGACACACAGAGACACATAAGGACCAACAACCACACACACTCACACTAAGGGCAGTTTGGAGTCTAACCAACCTAACATGCAGGTTTTTGGACGGTGGGAGGAAGCCGGAGAACCCGGAGAAAACCCACAGACACATGAGAACATGCAGACTCCACCCAGAAAGGTCCTGGTTCCCCCGGGACTCCAACCCAGAACCCTCTGGTCCTGCTTCCCCCGGGACTCCAACCCAGAACCCAGAATTTTGAACATTAATGAAACATATTTACAGAAAAATACACACAAGTCATGTGCATTGGTCTGTAGTTGAATACCTGATGCCTTAAGGAGGATCTTAGCTGGAAAAAAGCAACCAGGATATTCAGATTTACTGTTTGTGTTGTGTGTGTTTTTCAGGGAAAACGTCCCACTCCTGTGACTCCTGCCTCCCTGGTTACCTGCTGACGGACGGCAGGTGTGAGTCCGTGTGCGGCACCGGTCAGCATCCCGTGATGGAGGTAGTAGCACGACTATCCGCCGTTTTAACCCTATAATGCCAAATGTATCATATTTGATACATACGGTTTCTGAAATGTTTTGCTTCTGACACCTTTTGCATAATTTAATGGTAACAACTTTGCTCAAAATCCTATTGTACACAATCAGATACACCTGATAACAGGGGGCAGAAGACTACACAAAAAATAATCTTGACTTATCACATAGTAATAAATTATTAATATTAAAAAAGTATTTCTGTTTTTTACTTTTTACATTTTTTGTTAAAAGGCCAAATAAGGACTTCAAACCAAAAAAAAGTAATTTTATGTTTTGTTTTATTCTTGGATCAGGCTTTAAAGGGTTAATTCCGCAAATGCAAACTTTTTGATTAAAAAAAGGAAGAAATCAATTTAGCCGGTCCTTCACCAAAAACAACTAATAAGCGTTAATGTTTTGGCCCGGGGCCTCGTGTGCTATCACTCAGACACACCGGAGGTTGTTATTACAGCGTCTCATTTCGGGAATAAACCTCTCTCCTCCCGCTGAGAGGCAGGTGACCGAGGCGCTCTGGCATGTGGAGATGAATGTTAACTGGCTTTTGCTGAGAGACGGATCCTCGCTTTTTCTTCAGCCTCTCCGAAAGCTGCACATCTGTGCTTCTAAACACACACACACACACACACACACACACACACTAACTCATTAGCCCGGACACACATCTTTCAGCTTCTGTGCATTTTGCCGTACAAAATTCGAAATATCTCCTGTTTGTCTTTACTACCAGTGTGGTGGCTGCCATTTGATACATATGGTTTCTGAAGTCTTTTGGATCTGAGACTTTTTGCATCATTCAGTGGTAAAAGCTTTGATCAAACCCCTGTTGTACACATTCAGATATACCTGATAACAGCCAGTAGAAGACCACACCAAAATATATTTTTGACTTATTGCACGCTAATTTGATAAAAAAAAAAGTCTTTTTTTTTTTCTTCACATGTTATTGAGGGGCCAAAAAAAGACTTCAGACTAAAAGAATCCTATATTCTTCCTATTTTTCTTGGATCGGGCTTTAAAGGGTTAATTTTATCTTTAAAAAATATATATTTTATGTGTTTCTTGTGTTTTTATGTGTGAAGTGTGAATGTGGACTACTACTGCACAATAATGGCTCATACTGGGACAAATAAAATCTACTGAACTGGACAAAGGGTTAAAAAAAGATATAATAATAATAATAATAATAATAATAATAATAATAATAATAATAATAATAATAATAATAATAATAATAATAATAACAATAATAAAATAAAATAAAAATAATAATAAAATAATAATAATAATATATTTTAAAAGATAATAATAATTAAAAGAAAAACAATAATAATAATAATAATAAAATAATCATAACAATAATCAAATAAAATGAAATAAAAATAATAATAGAAT